TCTTAAAAATAGGAATGAAAGGGAACCTCCTCAACTTGATAAAGAGAATCTATACAAAAAAATCTATAGCTAACATTATTCTTAATGATGGAAGACTGAATGATTCTTCCCTAAGGTCAGGAACAAAGCAAAGGTGCTTGCTTTCAGTTCTTATTTAACATAGTGCTAGAGGTACTAGCCAGTGCAACAAGGCAAGAAAAGGTAACAAAATTCATACAGATTAGAAAGGAAAAAATTAAAAATTGTCTCTCATCTGCAGATGACATGACTGACTACATAAAACATCTCAGGAAATGTACGAAACACCTTCTACAATAAATGAGTTCAATAAGGTCCCAAGACATAAGGTATACATGTGAAAAATCAATCACATTTTAATATACTAGCAGTGAACTCACTGACACTAAAATTAAAAATATAATGTTATTTGCAATTTTTCAAAATTTACTTAGCTATAAATGTAACCAAACCTGTATGGAATTATGTACTGAAAACTATACAATATAATGAAAGAGATCAAAGATCTAAGCAGGTGAAGAGTTGTATTGTGTTGATGGATTGGCAGACAGCTTTGTAAAGATGCTAGTTCTTACCATACTGATTATTCAGGTTTAACACAATTCCTGGGGAACAGGAATTTCAAGAAATTGACAGTTTCTTGAAATAGTAAAGATGTGACTACCACGGAATCCAACACTCACACTTCAGGGCATATTTTACAGAGAAGTGAAGACTTATGTTCACACAGAATTCTGTACATGAGTGTTTCTAATACTTGTAACAACCACAGCATCTTTACTCACTGTAGCCCCAAACTGGAAGTAATCCTGATGTCCTTCACTGAGTAACTGATTAAACAAACTGTAATGCACCCATAGCATGGAACACTACACAGCAGTAACAGGGAATGAGCTACTCACATGTAGCAACCTGGATGCATCTCCAGAGATTCATCCTGAATGGAAAAAAACCCCAAAGCTGACATACAATTCCATTTACATAATTTTTTTTTGTAATACTGGGGATTGAATTCAGAACTTCACACTTGCTACGCAAGCACTCTACCACTTGAGCCATGCTCCAGTTCTTATATAATATTCTTGAAATGACATAATTATAGAAATGTACAACAGGTGAGTGGTGGCCAGGGATTAAGGAGGGGACACTGTAGGATGTGAATGGGTGTGGTTACAAAAGGGCAAGTGAGGATCCTTGTGATGACAGAAATGTTTGTATCTTGACTGTGTCAATGTCAGTATCCACATTTGTAAAATTGTACTATATAGTTTTGCAAGATCGTTGCCATTGGGGGAAAATGGGTAGAGAGCACATATGACCTCTTTCAGTACATATGATTTCTTATAGATACATATGAATGTACAATTTTCTTGAAATAAAAATTTTAATTAAAAAATGCTTTATGTTATTGTGTGTGCTTATGTACGAGGTCCTGGGCTCAGTTCCAGCCCTAGGGGTCAATCAATCATTCAGTACATTTCCTGCGCCTATTTTGCAGAACAAAGTACCCTAAACAGAGAGAATCAAGATTTATCAATGGAGGGTGAATTTTAATATTCCCCAAGCTCCCTCCTTTTCTATCAGTCAATTAGAGAAGTTGCCTACTGAGGTTACTCTAGGGACTTCCAGGCTCTCGTCTATTTAATATTATTATTATTATTTTGTTAATACTTCCATGGGGCTAATTCATCAACTTCTAGGTTGCCCTGGCAACCTAAGACCTGACCCCATTTGGTACTGAGGAAAACCAGAAAAATGATTTGCTAAGGAGCATCGGAATGCAGGTTCCCAATTCTTTCTTCTTCACGCATGGGCTGACACTGAATATGTGGGGTTTAGAATCACTCCTAGTGTTTTCCTGATCATTAAGTTCCTCTCTATTAAGCACCTGTCACTTTAAGACTCAGCAGTTCCTGAGAGCAAGAAAACTTTTTTTTTTTTTTTAACTGCATTGGGGTTTGAACTCAGAGCCTCAATGCTTGCTAGGCAGGTGGTCTACCACTTGAGTACTCCACCACGCCAGTTTTGAGTTGAGTTTTTTTTTTTGCTTTTTTGGTGGGGGAGTGTTGAGTATTTTTCAAGATAAGGTCAGTCAAAACATTTGCCTCACCTGGCTTCCAACCTCAATTTTCCTGCTTCCTGCTTCCTAGGTAGCTAGAATTATGGGTGTGAACCCCTGATGCCCAGCAAGAAAACACTCTTAAATCCAGCTTCTTGTCTGGACCTGAATCCTTCCATGAAAGGCCAGGTAGAACAGAATGAGGGTTTCCTTTGGCTCACAAAGGGGTTGTGATGGATTGAAGAACAGTGAGGTGGGGTTTTCTTATAGCAAAGGGTTATGCAGTTTCTCTGCTGTTTCTGGAGTGGCTGCTCTCAGGGGTCTCATTTGAGCAGATGAGATGGGACTTGATGAGGCATTAACTCTGGCTTTGGATGCTTCCGGTGTGATTCAGGGATAAAACTAGGAACTGATGTGGCAGCTGGAAGGCAAAGTCTTTGGATCTTTTTATCTTGGTATATTCAGAGGTGGGGTCATGGGGGGTTGGAATGACTGGAAATCTTCTAATTTCATCATTTAAAGAACTGAGAGAAGAGAATCAACACATTTTCAACACCTGATAGGTTTTTTGGTCTTGCCTTAATTTATTGAATAAAACTCATGGGGCTGGGTGTAGCTCACTATAGTGCTTGCCTAGCATGCGTGAGGCCCTAGGTTCCAGCTCCAGCACCGCAAACAAAACAAAACAAAACAAAAAATCCACCCCCCCAACAAAAAAATCGCTGAATCGTAAAAATGAGTTCCTGAAATAGGCATTTGTACAATCCCCACTATATAGATGAGAGAAGGAGGGTCCAGAGGGAACTAACAATGACTACGTTCAGCCTGAATTTAAAGCCCCGTTTAAATCCAAAGTCCATGGTTTTTCTGTCCCGTCCTGGCTTCCACAGAGGCGGTTTAGTGTAATGACTAACCGGCTGAAAGTGCAGGCTCTGCAGTTAGATGGATGTGAATTCTACCTGGCTCAAGCCATGTGACCTTGGGTAATTCACCTTTCCTGAGTCTCTCTTTCTTCACCTTTATAGTTGGGGATTTGGAATTCTTTCTATGGCCAATATAGCGTTGTTGAGCAGAATTTCAGATGAGTTTCATGTCAGGAACTCAGAGCCTGGCATATGTAAGTGAACAGTAAATGGTGGATATGTTTCCAAAGAGTAAACCAGCTTACTCAGTGGTTCCCAGTTGCATCTCAAAGCACTTTATTAAATCTCCATTTTCCCTAAACCACTCAGACCCCACAGCCATCAATGCTGTTGTTTATTGAAGATCAGAGTAACCATAAATGCAGGTACTGTACCATTATCTTATTTAAGTGAAGCAAGTGGCAAATCTTGCTTTGGAAAAAGTGCTGTTAGTAGTAGTTGTTTGAAGGCAGAATAAAACCCATCCTTCCTTACTTCCTTGCAGTGGCAGCAACAGGCACCATACATTTCTCCCAAGCCAGGCATGGATCACCATCAGAGCTCAGTAGAACACTGGGAGGGAGGGGCTGCTGTTATCTCCATTTCACAGATAAAGAAACTGAGTGCACAGAGGATAAGCAATTTGCTGTGAAAGCTTGTTTTGGATACTTCTTTTTTTCTCCTTCCTTTTTTTTTTTCCCCTTCTTTTCTTGTGCTTGGGGCCTCGACTGAGCTACACCCCCAGGTTCTTGTAACACATATTTCTGAGGCTGATGAAAAATTCCCTACGAATTGCAAAGATACCTTGTTTTGGGAAGTAAGGAGCCCAGTCTCTCTTTGGGGTCTGCTTATCAGTCCCCCAGGTCCACTGTCCCCAATTCTTGGTATTTCAGAGCTTGGTATTTCTGAAAGGGACTCTGGCAAATTAACTGGACAACTTCACGCTTAAAATTAGGAAATGGAGGCCCCAAAAGTTGAGGGAACTGCCCCCCCAGGTCACAAGGTCTGACCACAGCGGAGCTGGGATTGGATTCCGGGGGCTCTGATTTATAAAGGGAATTTGGCCAGGGAAAGGTACCAAGGAACTTTGGAATCTCCATTTCCTCACCTGCGAAATGTGCTCAATTACCGGCCCTCTTTGGTAGGTGTGGTGTTACATGGGTGTGGCCCAGCCCAAGGGCGGCCACCTGTACTAGGAATGTGACCATGGACAGTAGGGGAAGGGCCAGAGCTTCCGGAGTCCCCAGAGGCGGCCGTGGGAGCCGGTGACGGGAGCGGGGGCGGAGCTTCGGAAGCTAGAGGCTTCTGGGGCGGGGCCTACAGTGTAGGCATTTAGACGGACAGTGGGCGGAGCCTACAATGTAGGCATTTAGACGGACAGTGGGCGGGGCCTACAGTGCAGGCATTTTTACGGACAGTGGGCGGGGGCTGAGATGCGGCAAATAGGATTACAGGTCCCTGGGGTGGGACTTTTGGAAATTGGAGAGGGGTTTTGTGGCGCGGAAGGGCCAGTTCTGAAGCAGTGGGAGGGGACCTGGGTTTGGGAGACCGGAGGCTGGCTCAAAGGCTTGGATGTGCATCGGACGGGGCTCAAAGGAGCTGACGTTACGGGCTTGAGAGGCGCTCGGGGGGATCTTTGAGGAGCCTTGGGACGTAGTCTTGCTGAGCCCAGCGGTCAGTAGGCGGAACTCTTAAGAACCCCGCTCTAGGTTCTAAGGGAGCACTGGGCGTGGCTCAGAAGCTTCTGTGGGCGTGGCCCCCAGCCACTCAAGTGACTGGAGAGCGGGGCGTGTGCTTAGGCACTGCCTTCCTCTGCGGCCCAGCGCATCACTCCGTACGAACAGAGAGGGCGAGGCGTAGACTATGGGGTGGGAAGCAAGCTTCCCCTCCCGGAAGTGGGCGTGACACACCGCCGCTACGCGACCCTGGTTGGGCGCGGCGCGGCGCGGGGGCGGAGCTTGCGTGCGGCGGCAGGGGCGGTGGCGGCTGTCCGCGCCCCTCCCCCGCGCGTCGCTCAGTGCCAGGCGGGAGGCGGCAGCGGTTGGAGGGTTCGCCGGGCTTTGCATCGAGGACTTCGGCGGCGGCGCCTCAGGCACCTAGGCTCTGGTGAGCAGCGCGCGCCCGGCGGGGCCGCTCCGGAACGAGCCAGGCGGGCGAACCTGCCCTCTCAGCATGTGGGCACCGGCTGACAGGAACCTGCGGGGCGCGGGGCTGGGCGCAGTGGAGGGCAGAGGGCTGGTGTGCGCGCGCGGGCTGCGGGTCCTTGGGCGGTGTGCAGGGGTTAGGGCCGGGGCTACTGCCCGAGGCTCGGGATCTGGGGGGGGAGTTGGGGACAAACCAGTTGGCCTGGGGAGCGTGAGGCGGGGTCCCGTGGGAAGGAGGGTGCCCTGGACAGGGTTTTGGGGACCGGAACCCTGCCGGCCGGGTGGGGAGCCGAGAGGGGACACAGCTGCCCCGGGAAGGTTCTCAGGGGAAAGGGGCCCGCCGCCTGGGTGGGTGCGGTGCTGGGTGGGGAGGGGCTGCTGGAGGCCAGGGCGTAGAGCCCGGGGGCTCCAGGCCTGGGGGCGGGGCTTGAGCCGCCTTGGGGAGCAAGTGGGTGGGGGTGGGCTGGGGCGGCTCACGTGGGGCCGGGGCTTGCTGCGGCCCCGCGTGGGAGGGCCGAGGGCTACCGATTGCCCTAGGGGTTGCCTGGCTTTGGGTGCCGGTCTCCCCTGAGCCCGGAAGATCTGGTTGGGGGTCAGGCAGGGTGGGGCAAGGCTCGAGCTGGAGTAATTTGGGTCGGGAGCAGCTTGGGTAGAGGCTGAGCCGTGTCAGTTGGGACTGACCAGGGCTTGGAAGAGGAGGAAGGACCAAGCAGAATCGCTGTAGTGTTGGGGGCCTTGGGGACGAAGGAGTGAACTGGGTGATTCAGAGCTGTGCTCCCCTAATAGCGGGGCAGCTGTCGAGGGACGCGGTAAAAGGCAGCGCAGCTCAGGTTGGGGCTCTTCTGCGCCGAAATGACCGAGGATGAGATCAGACGTAGAGGGTGGAAATGCGGGAACCGAGGTCTCCCGCCTGTCCCCACAGGCGCGCGCACACCAGCTCTCCGGCTCTCAAATAATTTGAATGTGTTGGGGGAAGTGGCAGGCTGCGGGGAGAGCCGAGAAGAAAGGGGCTTCCTTTTGGAGCGAGGTGCTGGCCCTGCCGTCCTTTTTTGGGAGTGTTCACATTTTGATCGCTGGAAAAGGAAATGTGGGCTTTACGGCATCGTGGTTTAGAATCACATCCTATATTTGGCCTTAATGTAGGCTGCCCTTGTTTTGTGGTGTCTGAAGTGCTTGCTCTACATGTTGCAAACGTGGGATTCAGAGTGAGAAGCAAATTGCAAGTTGTTCAGCTCTCCCAGGATAGCTAGATACAAAGGATTTCCCTTCCTGTAAGACATTTGAAAAGAATTGGATGTAATGTGTACCCACTAGGATTGGGTGCTGAATATATTCACTTTTGGAAATAGTTGTCACAAAATATTAGTTCCTCTTACCACAGCCTTCCTGTTTGGGATTCCATTGTAAAACACTACTTAGAGGGCTCTCAGTCACTCAACAGAATAACGCATCTCATTGTCATTATCAGGAAACACTCTCCTGACATCAGGGTCTGCTAAAATAGTCAGAAACGTGATTAAGTATAAGCAGTTGCTTCTGTGGTCTGTTCAATTGTGAAGACAAATAGGTGTCATTTAATATTAATTCTGCATTCCCTGTAAAGCTGTAGAAGTGGGCAGATGTTTCTGACTTGATTCTGTACATGGTCAGAAAGACTGACTTAGGAAATCTGTTTTTCTTTTTTTTTTTAACTTGGATGTATGTGTTTCATTTTCATAATGTTTGGATAGGAGGCCTGATATTAAACATTGGATCAGAGAAACTGTGTGAATAAATATGAGAAAAAGTGAAGATAAAACTGAGAATTGTGTTGTTTCATAGTCTGGAAGTACAGTATCTTGTGGTAGACAACATGCCTTGTCTATTTTTTTTTTTATTACTTGTGGATGATACATTAAAGCCTGATGAATTTTAATAGAAATATGCCAAGGAATTATCACTGTCCACAGTATTGAATTTTTCATGCTAATCAGCATTTATGTCAATTTATGTATAGTTTGGGATTAGATTCACAATTGATAACTAGCCTTTTTTAAACATTTGGACTTTTTTTTGCAGTACTGGGGTTTAAACTCAGGGCCTGCACTTTGAGCCATTCCATCAGCTCTTTTTTTGTTAGGCCTTTTTTGTTTTGTGGTGGGTTTTTTCGAGATAGGGTCTCGAGAACTGTTTGCCTGGACTGGCTTTGAACTGTGATCCTCCTGATCTCTACCTCCTGAGTAGCTAGGATTACAGGTGTTGAACCACCAGCGCCCAGCTAATACTTGAATTTTTTTATATTAAGTTTTATGTTTAACACATGTGTCATTTCTGGGATCCACTCCAGTCATGAGGAGAGTCACTCATGCCTATGAAATAAAATGTTCAAAATAATAAATTATCAGTTCTTAGCTATGTAAATAGGAATGTAGAAGATTCAGTTCTTTATGATGGCAGACTATTCCTTTCTTAATATTGTGACTTGTCATAAAATGCTACTTTGGAAACAGGTATTATCACTGGGTGTGGTGGTACATCTCTGTAATCCCAGCACTTTGGAAGAGGAGGCAGGAGGATGTTGAGTTAAAGGCCAGTTTGTGCCACAGAGGAAGACCCAGTCTCAAACAACAACAACAAAATTAATAAATAAAAAAGGAACAAGTATTATTAGTTGAACTGTTACTTTTGACCTCTTTTTTAAGGGGTGGAGTAATAATAAATTTGAGTGCTGCTTTCATATTCTGGGTACAAAATCATGTGACAAAACCTCTTGCTTGTTTTTCATTTGATGACTTCCCTATGTTAACCAGCCTTTGAGTTAGGAGAACTCTTCTGCCACTTGAGAAGATGTCTTTTTAAACTGATGATACCTTTTCTGTATTGAAACATGGAATTCTTCATGAATATTTCAGTATGACCTAGTACCTAGAATGTTAGTAATAGAATCTCTCTGGGTTTTCATTGCCCTAGTTCAGATCCAGGAAGGTGAGTGAACAGGACTCTGTACTCCTTTCTTAGCACCTTGTGTTTATTTTGACAGTGCATAATGGAATCCTTTCTGTTCTATAGCAGCTTTATTGAGATATAATTCACGTGTTTTACACTACAAATTCACTCATTTATAATTGTGCCGATCAGTTGTTTTTAGTATAGTCACAGTTGTGCAGCCATCAATCACCACAATTTTAGAACATTTTCATTACCCCAAGAAAGAAGCCCCTTACCTATTAGTCTCTTACCACCATTCTCTCCCGTTGTAGCAGTTATTCATCTACTTTCTCTATTGACTTGCCTATATTGGAATTGTGTAAAGAGAATCATTCACTTTGTAGTCTTTTACGTCTAGCTTTTATCTAGCATGTTTTAAAGGTTCATGCATGTTTTTTAATGGTTCAATCCATTGTATGGATATATCATGTTTTGTTTATCCATTCATCAGTTGATGGGCATTTTTCGCTATTATGAATAGTGCTGCTGTGAATATTTGTGTACAAGTTTCTACATGAATATCTATTTTTATTTTTCTTGAGTGTTTACCCAGGGGTGGAATTGCTGGACCATGTGGTAAGCCGATATTTACCTGACTGGTGGAATGAATGCCAGACTGCTTTCCAGGCAGTTATACCAGTTTGCATTTTTATTCACAGTGTATGTCCAAAGATTCTAATTTCTCTGCATTATTATTTCATGTGCTCAGTGGCCATTTGTATATCTGGAGAAATGTCTATTCAGATTGACCTTTTTCCTTTTTTTGGCAGTATTGGGGTTTGAATTCAGGGCCTCACACTTGGTAGACAGGCACTGTCCCACTTGAGCGACACCCCCAGCCCTTTTTGTTTTAGTTTATTTTTCAGATAGGGTCTCACATTTTTGCTGAGGTCTGGCCTCAGACCTTTACCCTCTTACCTACGCCTCCCACATATCTGGGATTGCATGAAATTACAGGCATGTACCATCATGCCAGCTTGTTTATTGAGATGGGGGGGTGTGACTGACTTTTTGCTTGGGCTGGCTTCAAACCGTGATTCTCCTCTTGAGTAGCTGGGATTATAAATGTGAGCCACTTTGTCCAACCTAAAGCTCCAATTTATGGATCAGGGCAGTTTCTGATGTCAGCCTGCTTTGTCTTTCACAACTTTCCTTCCTGTGTCTTCATCTCCAGTGCCACTCCCTGAGCCAACCAGGCTTTACAATCTTGTGATGTGCCCATTATCACACCCCATTTTCACTTTCCACTTGACCTTTGGATCCAGGTCATGAGGTCTGCCTCCTTGGAAATCGAAGGAGGCAGATATTGTCTCTGAGCTCCCATATCATCCATTCATCACTACTGTCTGCCACAAGGAATTCGTCTCCTGAATTTGATTTTTTTCCTTGGTGGTACTGAGTCTTTTTAGTTTTTATTTATTTATTTTCATATTATTGTTGTACTGAGGGTATGTTGTGACATTTAAAAGTGCTTATAATATGTCTTAGTTAAATTCACTCCCTCCATCAGCTTCCTTTATCCCTTCTCCATTCTTTATTTTTATTGGTTTTTTTTTTTTTTTTTTTTTTGGCGGTACTGGGACTTAAACTCAGGGGCTACACCTTGAGCCACTCCACCAGCCATTTTTTTATGATGGCTTTTTATTCTTTTTTGAGATAGGGGCTTATGAACTATTTGCCTGGGCTGACTTCTAACCATCCTCCTGATCTCTGCCTCCTGAGTAGCTAGGATTATAGGCGTGAGCCACCAGCACCTGGCTTCTCCTTCCATTCTTAGTTTCAGCAGGCCTCATTTTTCCATTTTATACTTGAGCACATAATAACACAACATTCACCCTCCTATACCTTTTCCTTATTTCCTTCCCCCTCCCAGTAGTGCCAACCCCAGTACTGGGGTTTGAACCCAGGGTTTCATGCTTGCTAGGCAGGTGTCCTACCACTTCAGCTACTCACCCAGCCCCTGACCTGAGTTTGGGCATATAGTGCAAAAGCTGT